TTAATAATTAGATAGAAACTAAACTTTAACCGTTCGTCTAGAAGAACAAATACTAGGATAGCATATAGTAGCACCATGTTTTGCATATTTTTCAGTCATATATAAATAAAAATTGACTAATAAGTACAATAAACAAAATATAGTAGTCCCATTTCACTCACCTAAACACTCACCCCATGTTTTGCATAATCACAAAAGATAGTTCCATCCCGTACAACATGATTCTACAGCTTCCAAGTTTCATGATTTAATGTTGTTAACAAAAATTATTAGCTTTTGAGGGGGGGGGGGGGAGGGGGGGGATGTGCATTGTTAGCACAACTCTGTCAGAGGAGGCATTATCAAAATGCATTCAAAGAAGCCATGGTTAACAAGCTTCCTGGTTTGAGAATGGGCATCATCAAAATGCATTTGAAATATGGGCATTATCAAAATGCATTCAAAGATTCCTGGTAGACATGTCAAAAGTGAAACACCAAGTAGTTGTCTAACTAAATAAAACTGAAAACTTTTTTAGGACAAGGACTGGGACAAATAATTAAAAGCTAAATACTTAGTGAATATGATAAATTCACAGCAACAAACAACGGAGGAGCTAGGCTAAAGAAACTTTTCTAGATGATCATGTTAACCTAAGCATGAAAATTCAGCAAAACAGACAAGTAAAACAGCACATAACATCAAACTTATGGCAATTTTCATTAATTAAGTATTTGAACGTAGGTTGACATGATATAAAATAAAGATGAAGATGCTTCCTTGTTTCTAGTAAAAATAGTTCAAACCTTAGTTTAAATGCCTATAAACAAATAATTAGTAGGATTTCAAGTCATTATCAACCCACATATTCAATTTAATCATAATCCATTTAATCATAAGAAATGATGTGGTCAGGTGATAAATAATTCAGCAACAGTAACAATCCTAGCATTCAAGTAGTTCTACCAAGCTAGCCTAACCTTCAATAAAACAACGTAAACTGCAATTTTATGTGGATTGGATTGTGCTCATCTTTACTATTTTATTATGCTGGATACATATTTCCTCCCATCAGCACAAGTACAAAAAAGAGAACTGCAATATTATGTATACTATCAATTTATCTCCACTTTAATACTAAACAAAATCTGAATTGTTCCACAACATCTATGATTATCACTAACTTTGATTTAAAGCTTTATAAATCAATCAATATGTTATGTCAAGGGATGAAATATTTGTCAGGTATGAGTCTAAATACCTTTTCAAGAATTGAACCATGGGTTGATCCAGAAGAATGTGAGAGATTTTGGCCCCTTACAGCTTGTGCGCTACTTGCATCAACTGGAGAAGGTTGGTTAGATCCGACAAATCCTTGTATATCTGAACTAAAAAGTTCAGTATTATTTTTCACTAGTAGATTAAAGCAGTGATGCATTTGCCTCAATTCTTGCATTTCTTCTCTCATTTCTTGCATTTCTACATTCAAAGTAGGGACTTCATTGTAATGCTTTTGTTGGAGCTATTGATTTCCTCATCTTTTTTCAGAGAACTCATTGCCACTGATCTACTATATCATCGTATTCGACCAGGCTGCTCAGTCCCACACACTGCCCTAAATGCTTCAACCGATGTTTCCCCAGAGCTTTGACGGTTCCGAAGTTCAGACTGCCAAAAAAATAATAATGAGAACCATATAAAGAATCTAAGTCCAAGATAATATATTAGTTGCAACAACGCTTACTATTGCAATTTGAGCATCTTCATGAACTTGTTTCCCCTGTTTTATACGAGTTGCAATAAATATTGCAGACTTAGATGGTTCCTCATTGTTCTCTTTACTTGCACGCTACAAATTATATCATAGAAATAAATAACAAACATCAATGTATTCAAAAAAGTATGTTAAAAAATGAAATCCATATTTTTCACAAAGTGTCGAATAAATATTACCAATGCCACGCGTAATCTTGCAAAATTAACAGGTCCCATCCGATGCCTTCACTTTTATTTTTTTTATTTTCAGAATTTAATTTGCATATGGCCTAGCACAAAAAGAAGTTCACCAATTAATAAATCAAAAAGGGGAAAAATATAATGCAACAATATGTTCAAGAGTAGAAATGCACAATTTAATCTCACTTGAACATCTGAATCCCTCCAATACTCAATCAATTGGAGGAATTGAACTTCTGGTATCTCAGCGGGACAGTTTTTTAGCATATCTTCAATAGTACGATACCCATCAACATGACTCTTCTTAATATTTCTCTTGTATCGCCTTCAAGCATCGCGAAGACCATCCATCACCTACTTCTTTCCTTCTGCTGGAATGATGAACTTGGTCTATTCAAAATAACATATATGTTATCTTCATTTAGTAAGAAATACAATAAGATACACAATTGACAATGAAATATGTTATCTTACATTGACATATTCCCACATTCGTTGTTCAATATCATCAGTGACAGCATGACAGCTAGTGAATAACAAGGTGATAAATCTGGGATTCCTGGCAATTGCTCCTATAAAGTTGTTTAACTTAGACACTCTTTTGCCAGTTGGTCCAACAGCTTGTCCTTTATCAAATGTCACTTCTTGTCTTTCCTCAATATTTCTTGCGTGAATCATCTTTTTTGTTTGACCTCGAACTTTCTTCTTATCTAATCTTCCTAATGTAGCAACCAAGCATTAAGGAAAATAATATAATAAACATACAAAATTACTAAGTTTAAGACATACCGCATGTAGCAGATTCAACGTCCATAGCTTCGTCTCTAACACATTCATCCTCGCCAACTTCTTTCTGTGCAGCAAAATCATCCAATCCTATGTTATGCTCATCTACTGGTTGAGTATTAGGTTGTTTTTCTTCACCCATATATATTCCTTTTTTTTCCTAAAAAATGATCAAGACTCGTCGCCGATAAGACGGACTTCCCCTTCACCTTTTTGCAAATTTCTCCTTCTCCTTGTCTTCCTCTAATCATATGTGAAGTGTTAAGATCTTCCTTCGAAGACAACTGGATTATGGATTTGTGCATAGGTAATTTACCATTTCCTTGTTCTTGAAAGGATTCCTCAGGTTGAATTAACCCTTGTCTACTTTGTCCTTCTCTTGCATTTGATATTGTAGGCATATGATGCTTCCGTTTATGAGTTCCTGGTGCTTGTTCTTTCACAGCTCTATACTCCTTATCATGAGCTAGATTTTTCTTTCTTAGTCTGAAATTGCTTGGCCAATTCAGCACTTGATCGAAACTGAAAATCAAAACCTAACTTCTTCATAGGACTTTGAGCTTTGTTTAGATTCAAACTCTTTTTCTTTGCTCATGAATACATTCTTCATAAAGTGAAAAAACAATTAATTAGAAAACACCGAAATGAACAATGCAGAAAGCAACAAATGTCGAAACAATGTGCAGAAATGCAAAAATGCAGAAACGTTCTGCAGAAATATAAAAACACTAAGAAGAAATGCAGAATCGCTGTGCAAAAATGCAGAAACTGTAGGAACACAGCACAGAAATGCAAAAATACTGTGCAGAAAGCAGCAAATGCTGAAACACTATGCATAAACACAGAAATTACCGAAAAATCTATGCGAAAATGCATAACACTGTGCAGTAATCCAAAAATAATGTGCAGAAATGCAGAAAACACAAAAAAAACTGTGTAGAAATGCAGAAAACACAGAAATACAGTGCAGAAATGCAGAAAACACAGAAAAACTGTGCAGAAACGCAGAAATTGCCTAAATGATGTGCTGAAACGCTATGCAGAAATGCTGAAAATGCAGAACCACTGTTCAGAGTCGCGGAAACACGGTGCAGAAATGTTGTAACGCTGAGCAAAATCGCAGAAACACTGTGCATTAATGCTGAAACACTGTGCAAAAATTAAAAAAATGCTGAAACGCAGTGCAGAAATGCCGAAAAGTAGAAACACTGAAATGATGTGCTGAAATGCTAAAATACAGTGCAAAATTGCAAAAAAAAAAATATAAATTTCCTATTCAAAAATTCAAAATACCTGCTCAATATCTGTATGCTTCCTCAATTTTTGCTACTCCACAACCCTCCTCAGTTAGAAGTGAACCACCTGGTAATAATAAAAAAAGAAACATATTTTTTACAATAAATTGAGGCACAATATTAATAACCAAATGATTCAAGAAGCCAAATTAGAATAAAAGCTTTAGATTTTAAAAGTAGAGGGTCCGAAGCAACCAATCAATTAAGTTCTAAAAGGAATCTTAGAAAATATAAAGTAAATCGAGAAGAGAAGAGAACATAAGAAGCGAACAAATGAATAATAGAACTAAATTTTCGTTCTCTCTCTTCTCTCACACAACGACCTAATTTATAACGTCTTTTTCCCAAATTCTGCGCTTGGCGCACACGCGCCTCCTCCATGGGCAAGCAGGAGGAGCTTCCACTGGCACGTCTAGATCATCAAAAGGAACCTCAAGCTGGGATTTTGAATCTCCAACAACTGAATGACGCAGAATCAAGCTATGCTACGAAATTATCTTCTCCGAAACCCCAAAACAAACCTCTATCAGTTATGAATGCCAATATGTAAAAGCCAGAATCACTACTCACAATGGAATGCCGGTAATAATTTTCAAAGCTAAGGACTATTATGGAGTTATGGCTGAAGAATGCAAGCTTACCGTTGTGGGAAAATTCCTGCGAACCCGACCAAAAATTGAGGTAATCCGAGCTGTATTTATGGAAAAAATCTCTCTTAAAGGCACTGTTAAAATTGGTGCCTATGATAGGCGTACTGTTTTTATAGACTTCTCTGATGAGCAAGATTGCAAAAATTTCTACTTTAGAAGGGCATTGGAAATGAATGGATTCCAGATGTGGCTTGAAATGTGGAGTCCTGATTTTAGGCCAGACCATGACTGTCCTATCGTCCCAGTATGAGTTTTGCTACCTAAACTTCATTTTCACTACCATTCATGGAATTATGTTAAGCACATTTTGGAACCGGTGGGAAAACCTTTATCTATGGATGTGGCAACTTTTGGCAGAACTAGACCTAGTACATCTAAGGTCAGAGTCGAGATTGATCTCACAAAACCTCAGGTGACTAGAGTTTATGTAGGCCAAGAAGAGGAAACCAATCCTTTGAAGGGGTTTACTCAGAACATTGATTATGAACATGTTCCAAAATATTGCATGCACTGTAAACTCATTGGACATTCTCTAGTCCAATGTAGAGCTGCAATTAAGAAGAAATCAATAGAAGAAACAGAAGATAAGATTGAAGTTGAGCAGACTCAGGCGAGTAAACAATCTGATGAGGAAATGGAGAAAACTAGCAATATGATTTCTGAAAGGAAGGTCAACCAGCCTGACAACAATACTCAAGATGAGCTAAACAAGAAAAAATTGAAAAAAAGAGTGAAAAGGAAACATAGAATGCAAAGAACTGCCATTTCAAAAAAATCATGAAGAGGAAAAAACAGGTAAATGAGCATCTACAACATCAAGTCGAGGACATGGCTCTATTTTCCATAACTGAAGATAGAAAATCAAATGACAACTTTGACAAGCCAATAAGGAATGAGGTCCTGCAACAATCGGATGAAGGGATTGGGCAAGCTTCAGGAATTGATGCTACAAAGGCATCAACTGATAAATTTAATCCTGAAATGAGATCAATAATTGAGAAAGACAACCTCTTTAATGGAACCAACAACCTTGGCACTAATGTCCAGGGACCTCAATCCAAGAGGTTGATGCCAGGAATCAAATGATCAACAAGTTGTTTGTGATGCTAAAGGACCGTCAATCAATATCCATAATTCCTTTCAGATTTTGGAGGAAGAACAAGAAGAACAGAACCAAGGCTCTAAGAGTGACACTAATCAGAAACAATCTCAAGTTCTAGAGATTAACTCTGAAAGGATCAAGAAAGACATCAACACTAATACTCCTGTACATCAAATCAGCAAAGGAGGAGATCAAGAAACACGACAATCTAACAACTTAAAGGAAGATGATGCTACGAATGAGCAATCAGTCAAAGCTTTCTCTCCACCTCCAGATCTGAATTTACATGATGTTGTCATTCAACAGGTCCAGGAAGTGATAGAAAAGGAAGTTTTGTCTCCAAGAGGACCTAAAATTTCAAATAGAAGTACCAAGAAATCTACTACTGCACCTAATACTAGAGGTAGAGGTAGAGGAACCAAAAATAATCTCTAATCCAGTTTTCCATGATTAATACAATCATTTGGAATATCAGGGGTGATAAGTCTAAGGGAGCTTTTCAAAGACTTAAAAAGCTTATCAAAAGACACAAGGTTACCTTTATTGCTCTTCAGGAACCTTTTGTAGACAAAGCAAAGTTGAACCACTATAGAAGAAAACTTGGCTTTCCAAATGCGATTGCAAATAGTAATGGGAAGATCTAGATTTTTTGGAATAATGATTATACCTGCAAAGTCATTAGCAACAAAAAACAACAGATTACTATGGAAGTCAATCACAGTATAATGCAGAGCCCTTTCTAGATTACTCTTGTTTATGCAAAAACCAGTACAAGAAGAAGAAAGAGCCTTTGGAAATCTATCAACAATATGAGTAATCATATCAATGGACCATGGTCTATTGGAGGTGACTTCAATGTAATTATGGACGCTAATGAGAAAAAAGGTGGCAAAATTCACAGACTTAGTAAAAGCATGGACTTTATCAGATGTATGGAAGATTGTGGTATGTCAGATGCTGGATATACAGGTAACAATTACACTTGGTCTAATGGAAGTAGGAGAGATAATAGGATTCTTCAGAGACTAGATAGAGTTTTCTATAACGATCAATGGTCAGCTATATTTCCAGTGGCTACTGTCAGACACTTGCCCAGAACATGATCTGATCATAATGTGCTGCTCTATAAGTGCTCCAAGTCTGTTTCTCTTCCTACCAAATACTTTAGATTTTTAAATTTCTGGGTGGATCAACCTGATTTTGAACATGTTGTTAAAGAATGCTGGGAAACTCAAATACAAGGTAATGCTATGTATATTCTACATCAGAAACTCAAGAGTCTCACTCATTGTCTTAGTAAATGGTCTAAAGAAAGTATTGGCAATATTTTTGACAAGGTAGAAGAACTTGAGAAGAAGGTTGAGGATCTAGAGGTTAAATATGAACAAGATGACTGCGACAATAACAGGATCAATATTAATTTAGCATATGCTCAACAAATCAAGTGGATGAATATGCAAGACTCTTTTCTGAAACAGAAAGACAACATCAAATGGGAGGAAGAAGGGGATAGCAACTCCAAATACTTTCATAGCATCATCAGACAGAAGAGGAAAAGATCTTATCTCCATAGAATTAAAGATGATCATAGTTAATGGATTCAAGGGAACGAGAAAATTGCAGAAGTTGCTATCTCTCACCTCAGCAAGCTGTTTTCACAACCTGACCAGAACAATGACATGGACTTCCTCAAAAGGATTGACAATATTATCACTTGGGAAGACAATCAAGCTCTTATCCAGCTTCCTTCCGATGAGGAAGTGAAATATGCAGTCTTTGAGCTTCATCCTGATAGTGCAGCTGGTCCGGATGGATTCAATGGAAAATTTTTCCAAGTTTGCTGGCATATTATTGCTGAGGATGTGTGTGCTATGGTTAAAGACTTCTTTGGTGGTAACACTCTAACTGAATATTTTACTCATACTTGTCTAGTATTTATTCCAAAGGTTGAATCTCCTTATACGTTTTCTCAACTTAGACCTATTAGTCTAAGTAATTTTTCCAATAAAATTATTTCAAAAATTATCTCCAATAGATTAACAGATTTGTTTCCTAGTATTATTTCTGAAAATCAAACTGGTTTTATGAAAGGAAGACTAATCACTGAAAATGTTCTCTTAACTCAAGAAATTGTCCAGGATATTAAATGCAAAAATAGAGGTGGCAATGTGATCATGAAACTAGATATGGCTAAAGCTTATGACAAAGTTTCTTGGCTTTTTCTTACTTCTGTTATAAGGTGTATGAGATTTGTTGAACCTTTCATTGAAATGATTCATAGATTGCTCTCTAATGTTTGGTACTCTGTTCTTATTAATGACACTAGATTTGGTTTCTTTCCCTCTTCTAGAGGTCTTAAACAGGGAGACCCCCTCTCCCTTAGCCTATTTGTTATTGCAGCTGAGGCCCTGTCCAAAGCCCTTAATCACCTCCATAATAAGGGTAAGTATATTGGATATTCTATGAATAATAGATGTCTAAGAATCAATCATCTGGCCTATGCAGACGACTTAGTTATCTTCAGTTCTGGAGATAAATACTCCATAAAGCAGGTAATGAAAACTTTAAGGAGATATGAGGAATCTTCGGGACAAGAGATCAATAAGGATAAAAGTTTTTACTTTGCATCCAAGTATATTCGTGGTAGTAGACATAATATGATTCAAAGGCTCACTGGTTATCGATATCAATCATTCCCTTCAAGTATTTGGGCTGTCCAATCTATTCTGGAAGAAAGAAAATTTGTTATTATACAGATATTGCCAGGAATTTTATGAATAAGATAGGAGGTTGGCAAGGTCATGTACTATCCCCTAGTGGAAGAGTTATTCTCATTAAACATGTGCTTCAATCTCAAACTCTTCATATTCTTGCAGCTGTTACCCCTCCCAAGACAATTCTCAAACAATTGGAGAGTTACTTCTCCAATTTCTTCTGGGGAAAATTTGAAAACAAGAACAAATAGCACTGGAGCGCTTGGAAGAATCTTTGTTATCCTACTGATGAAGGTGGTGTGGGTTTTAAAAGTCTAACCGACTTATGTAGGACTTTTTCTGTCAAAAGATGGTGGAGGTTCAGAGTTGCAAACAATCTTTGGGCCAAATTCATGAGAGCTAAAAACCCCCCAATAAGCCACCCTGTTGCAAAGGCCTTGGAACCTAAACATTCTGCTGCATGGAAGGAAATGATACAAATTAGAAAAGTTATTGAACCTTATATCCTGTGGAAGATCAATGATGGTGATAGCTCCTTTTGGTGCAATAATTGGACAGGACTTGGACCACTTGGTGCTTATGTCAATGGTAACAAAAAACCTGAAAATATGAGGATTAGGGATTGTATCAAGGATGAGGCATGGGATGTAAACACTATATCTAGGTTGGTTCCTAATAATTTGTTGAATCATATTATTCATATCCCTATTGGCAATAGATAGATTAATGACACCCCTGTTTGGACTGAGACTTCTAATGGGGCCTTTACTTGTTCCTCTGCTTTTAACTACATTAGAAAAAGAAGGGATATGGATAATATGTGGAAAGATGTGTGGAAGAAGAATGTCCAATTTAAAATGTCTTTATTTCTTTGGAGAGCTATTAAGGGTAAACTACCTGTGGATGAAACTATAAAGAGATTTGGTCATAATATAGTTTCCAGATGTTCTTGTTGCCTACATCCCAAGAAAAAAACTACATCTCATATTTTCTTTAATAGTGATATTGCTTTTCTAACTTGGAATTTCTTTGCAGGTCCTCTGGGAATTAAAGTAGGATGCCAATCAATTGCATATACTTTAAAAGAATGGAGGAACACTCAGAATATGAATGATGTCCAAAGAGACCTATGTCGAATAGTTCCTATCTTTATCTGTTGGGAGCTATGGAAACACAGATGCTCTATCAGGTATGGAAACATAAATCCTATGATTGCAAAGCTAAGACAGTCTATTTTGTTTCATATGAAGGTATACATGAAGAAGAGAGGAGCTACTGTGGACATGAAATGGCAATGGCAACAAATTTGAACTTACATGGAAGATAATAGACCAAGAATCACGAGCACTCTAGTTATATGGAATAAACCTCCAGAAGGTTTGCTAAAAATAAACACTGATGGAAGCAGTAATATTACAAAGAGAACTGCAGGAATTGGAGGGGTGGTTAGGAACAGAAATGGAGATTTGATCATGGCATTTGCCAAAGCTCTTCATTTCTGCACTAACAACCAAACTGAAGTTCAGGCAGCATTGTATGCTCTTAATTGGTGCAAGCAAAATAATATGACCAATTGCATTTTAGAGATGGATTCCCTTATGACTATTAATATGATGAAGGGAGTTTATAAACCTTCGTGGGAGCTTACAGATGACATCAAATACATGACTCAAATAGCACACAATTTGAACATAAAAGTCCAGCATTGCTATAGAGAGGGAAATGAAAGTGCTGATGCCTTAGCCAAATTTGGAGCCAACTCGGAAATGTCTACAGAGGCAAGAATTTTCTCTCAGGTGTGTGAATTGCCAACTGAAGCAAGGGGAGTTTACCGTATGGATAGATCACAAATTCTCATGTTTTAGAATTAGACTTTGGAGGGACGGTACAAAGTCTCATGGTGATTATGTATGTAATTAGCCCCATACTTTTGTATATCCTCTATCATTGTGGAACGAGAAATAA